AGTTGGGCACACACGAGTCTGGGCTTTGGAATCAGACAGGCCTGGGTTGAAATCCTGGGCCGTCACTTAACCGCCCTGAGCTCATTTTCTCTACCTGTAAAGTGGATATAATAATACTTCAGAGGATTGTTTTGAGGTCTAAATAACATATATAGAGCTCTTAGTGCAGTCCTATTATTGACAGGTGAAATAACTGAGGCTCAGAGAACTCAAGAGATTTGTACAAGTCATATTCAAGCCCAGGTATCCTGACCCTAGAGAATTATGTAATGAATAGCCTCTACCCACCACCTAGCTTTAAAAAGAATTATAGCAACAAACTGAAGATTCCATGTGTCCTTCCCTAATCCCATTCCCCTTCCTCCCTCCCACCTCCTTCTCTCCTTGCCTCCACCCAGGTAACCATTAGCCTGAATTTGGTGTTTATTATTCTCATGATGCTTCTATACTTCGACTCCATATTTATATATCTGTGAGCAACTTTGGTATTGTTCCATATGCTTTTTTTTTGCTGAGGAAGATTCACTCTGAGCTAACATCTGTGCCAATCTTCCTCTGTTTTGTATGTGGGTCACCACCACAGCACAGCCACTGACAAGTGGTGTAGGTCCACACCCAGGAACTGAACCCAAGCCGCCCAAGCAGAGCATGCCGAACTTAACCACTAGGCCACAGGGCCAGCCCCCTGTTCTATATGCTTTTAAACTTTATATACACGGTATCAGATTGTGCATATCATTCTGCACCTAGCTTTTCTACTCAATAGTTTTCGAGACTTAACCATGTTGATACATGGAATTATAGTTCATTTATTTTAAACTCAGTTTAGTATTCCATTATATGACTATACCACAACTGTATTACCCATTCTCCTGTTGATAGATATTTAAATTATTTCCAATTTTATGCCATGACAAACCTTGATGCAATAGACATTCTCATATCGATCTCCTTATAAACATGAGCAAGAATTTCTCTAAATTCTCTTTAGGTCATAAGATATGAACAGATTCAGTTTTACTAGATAATGCCAAACAGTTTTCCAAAGTGGTTGTACTAATGTATGCTTCCACCAGCAGTGTATAATGAACTCCTATTGCTACACATCTTTACCAACACTTAGTATTGTCAGACTTTGAAATTTTTGACAATCTGATGGGTGTGAAATGTTCTCTCATAGTCGTTTTAATTTGCATTTATCTGATTATTAATGAGAATGGACATGTTTTCATATCTTATTGGTCATTCTGTTTTGTACATCTGCAAAGAGGCTATCCATATTCTTTGCATCCCTGTTTTTTGTTGTTGTTGTTGTTTGGTTTTTTTTTTGTTTTTATTTTTTGCTGAGGAAGATTGGCCCTGAGCTAACATCTGTTGCCAATCTTCCTCTTTTTGCTTGAGGAAGACTCGTCCTGAGCTAACATCTGTGGCAGTCTTCCTCTATTTAGTATGTGGGTTGCTGCCACAGCTTGGCCACCGATGAGTGGTGTAGGTCCACGCCTGGGAACTAAACCCGAGCCACCAAAGCAGAGTGTGCCAAACTTAACCACTAGGCCATGCGGCCAGTCCCTTTGCACACTTTTATACTGGGATATTTTTATTATTGATTTGTGGGAGTTCTTTATATATTATGAATGGTAACCTTTTGTTTGTTATATGTGTTGCCAATATTTTCTCCCAGGTGTTTGCTTGTTTCATTGTTTATAAAGACTCTTAATGTAAAGAAGTTTTAAATTTTACTGTAGTCAAATGTATTAACTTTTCTTTATGGCCATATTGTTTCCATCATATTACATTGTCTCTCTATGTCTTCCTATGAGCCATTTAAGACCTCCTTTTCCCCTCAGGCCTGACAGGTCACTCTCTTCCTCCTTTGCCTGCAGTGTTTGTCATGTTAACATGTGCCTTTCGCTATGGCCATGATGACTTGGATGTGATTGGTCTGACGTTCCGCAAAGATCTGTATGTACAGGTCCTGCAAGTGGTCCCAGCTGAGGCCACCAGCCCCCAGGGGCCCCTCACAGTCCTACAGGAGCGACTGCTGCACAAGCTGGGGGACAATGCCTACCCCTTTACTCTGCAGGTACTGACCCCAAGTCCTGGGCAAGGTTTCCAGGGAAGATTAAGAGAGGAAGCTAAAGAAAGAGAAGAGGGGAAAGGGGTCTCTATTTCTTCTGTTTGCTGACCTCCTTCTGATCTCCTAGATGGTTGTCAACCTGCCCTGTTCGGTGACACTGCAGCCAGATCCTGAAGATACAGGAAAGGTGAGGTCTGGGTTCTGAGAAAGAGGGATAGACAGTCAGCGCTGGGAGAAGGACAGAGGGACAAATGGACAAGACTGAAGAAACAGACAATTAAAGGATGAGGTCAGGCATTTCCTTATAGGCCCATGAAGAAGGGAGGGATAGTGTTAGAAATGAGCTCTCTTTGCCCCTGCCCCTTTGCAGGCCTGTGGGATTGACTTTGAAGTGAAAAGTTTCTGTGCTGAAAACCTGGAGGAGAAAATCTCCAAGAGGTATTCTTTGGTCCTCTCCAAAATCCCTGCCTCCAACCTGTGTCAGGAAATAGATCTTGTTCTCAGGACAGAAACAGTGCTACTTCTAACCTCCATAGCACCATCATTACCAACTCAGATGCCCAGTTCTGATTCCCCTCTGACTTCTCTTCTTTGCTCTAGGGCAAGGGTCAGCAAACTTTTCTGTAAAAGGACAAAAAATAAATATTTAGGCTTTGTGAGCCATACAGTTTCTGCTGTAACTACTCAACTCTGCCAGTGCAGTGCAAAAGCAGCCACAGATAGAATGTAAATGAATGAGCATAGCTGTGTTCCAATACAACTTTATTTATGGACACTGAAATTTGAATTTTATGTAATTCCAAACATCATGAAATATTACTTTTCTTTGATTTTTTTCAACCATTTAAAAATCTAATAACCATTCTTAGCTCGCGGGCCATACAAGAACAGGCAGCAGGCCAGATTCGGCCAGTGAGCCATAGTTTGCTGACCCATGGTCTAGATCCCTACACTGAGGGTCTAGAGGAGTTCTCTGAGGGAGGCCTTCCTCTACCTCTAACGTCCAAGTAAAGACTGGGTTATGGTGTTGGCATGGGAAATGTCTGTGGGTCCCAAAGCAGACATTCTGGCTAACCCCTTGGCCTCTACTCAGAGACTCTGTGCGCCTGGTGATTCGGAAAATACAGTTTGCACCCCTGGAGCCAGGCCCTGGCCCCTCAGCCCAGACTGTCCGCCGCTTCCTTCTGTCAGCTCAGCCCCTACAACTCCAGGCCTGGATGGACAGGGAGGTTTGTGACCCCCCACTCCCTGCCCCCTACCCTACAACCCCTCTGAAACTCTTTTTTCACTGATTTTTCTACTTGGGTAGACAGGGATGGGAGTCAGGGTGGCAATAGTGCTAATGAAATAGGAATTCTAGGTCTTGACCTGGGCATTCTCCCTCCAACCTTGTGATGGGCCTCTCCTCCTGCTTCAGGTTCACTACCATGGCAAACCCATCTCTGTCAATGTTTCTATCAACAACTACACCAACAAGGTCATAAAAAAAATCAAGATTTCAGGTGAGCTTCTTTTCCTATCCCCCTGCACCTGGTCCCAAATCCACAGGTCTTTTTTAAAAACTCTGCCCCACTTACCCAGTCTGCATTCATCTAGGATTTCCCTCCAATGCAGGCTTACCAAAATATGTGTCTCTGTCCATGAGCACATTTGAGTGCATCATGCATAGTGTGCCCATGTATAAGGTCACTTCTGAGGGCAGTGAGTTGGGGTCTTGAGGATGACTGACTGATTATAGTCATGTGCTTTTCCTGGCTGTTCAGTTGACCAGATCACAGATGTTGTCCTGTATTCACTAGACAAGTACACCAAGACTGTGTTCATTCAGGAGTTCACGTGAGCTGGCGCTGGGGCCGGGGTCAGAAGAACCAAGGGGTGGGGTGATGGGAAGAGGGCCAGGGGACTGGAGGCAGAGGAAGGGATTGGAGAAAGAAGGAAGCAGGTAACAGCCCAGGACTGAAGAAAGTCAAGGTGAGGGCTGACATGGAGAAAGGGAGGGACTCCCAGGAGAACTAGAGGGAGGATCCACAAGAGGATCATCAAAATGCTGAGAGAGGGAAGGGGCAGAAGGATTTCCCACCAGAGTGAATGTTCCATTCTCCACAGTTAGACATGCCAGGTCTCTGGGATACTCCAGTATATTCATGAAATTATGCAAGATACTCTTGGGAATGAAAGTACCCTTAGTCGGCAAGCCTAGCCTAAGTTCTTCTCTTCTCCTTTCAAAGGGAAACTATAGCTGCTAACTCCAGCTTCTCCAAGAGCTTCACGGTAACCCCACTCCTGGATGCCAACTGCCAGAAACAGGGCCTGGCACTGGACGGCAAACTCAAGCATGGTGATACCAATCTGGCCTCCAGCACGATGTAAGCTCAAATGTAACTCCCCATTCTCTATCCCCAACACATTCTGCATGCTATATATACAGGTCTAAGGTTTCACCTTCAATGAAGCCTACCTACATTTTTAAAATGTCCCTAGGCTAGTGTTCAGAGATCCCTCCAGGCCTGAGGGCTAACAGTAAGCTAAATAATGCCCATGGGACCAATGGCAGGCTTAGGTCATAGGCAACAAGAAAGGAAAAAATGGGGCCGGCCCTGTGGCTTAGTGGTTGAGTGCACGCGCTCCGCTGCTGGCGGCCCGGGTTCAGATCCCGGGTGCGCACCGACGCACCGCTTCTCCAGCCATGCTGAGGCCACGTCCCACATACAGCAACTAGAAGGATGTGCAACTACGACGTACAACTATCTACTGGGGCTTTGGGGAAAAAAAGGAGGAGGATTGGCAATAGATGTTAGCTCAGAGCCGGTCTTCCTTAGCAAAAAGAGGAGGATTAGCACGAATGTTAGCTCAGGGCTGATCTTCCTCACAAAAAAAAAAAAAAGGAAGGAAAAAATGGAGAGAAAAATTCCTTACATTGTATAATATTTCACAGCTCACAAAGGTCTCACATATGTACTATGTTATCTTCATAAGAATCCTATTAAAGTAAGCTGGATAGGTGTTCTTATTCCATTTTACACTTAAGGACCCTGAGGCTCAGAGAGATGAAGGAAATTGTCCAAGCTTGCATAGCTAATAAGTGGCAGAGGTAGAAAGGATTCTATCACCTGTCATCTGGCTCTAACACTGTAATCTCTACAGTAGCTACTCTCTAGGGAAGCTAGAAATGGAGTAGAAGACTAGGAGATGAGAAATGGAGGAAAAGGAGGACAAAAAAGGAGAATGATATGATAGGAACTGACAGAATTCTATCAAGTCATTCATTTGGTCCTATGCCTTCAGAGGTCCTAGTGTTAGATGTGTCTCCCACCAAAAACCATCTGACAAGTGTTAATTCTCTCTGCCTCTCCTTATGCTTTATCAATCATGTAGCTATAGACTGTTATTGCTAGAAAGACCCGTAGAAATCACTCAAACAGCATTATTTTATAGATAGAGGATCAGCATCCCAGAGCAATGAAGAGACTTTCCCAAGATCATACAGCTTTCTGTGTTTTGTTTTTCAATCAGCGGGTTTTTTATTGAGCATGTTACATGTTCATTCCTATGCTAAGCAATGTGGGAGGATACAAAGAAGTTTAAGACAGTCTCTGCCTTCAGTCAATTTATGGCCTAGATGGGGAACAAAGAGGAATGCAAATACAATTTGACAGTTAAATGTTAGTACATGTGGTTCAGATTATAAATCCAATAGAAGTAAAAAGAAGCTAGCATAGCTGGAGAGGGTTTCCTGGAGGAGACAGAATGAGCTAGACCTTGAAGCGTGGGTAGGATCTGGATAGCAACAGAGGAAGAAAAGAGTATTCTAGATTGGAAGCACAGCATGGGCAAAGGCTAGAAGGTGAGAATCCACATGGCATGTTCTGGGGCATGGGGGGTGGATGGCTCTGCTTAGGTTGTATCCCAGGTTTTAGGGACATAGGGCAGAAAAAGTTAGAGAGGCCAGGTGGGGCCAGATTATTAAAAGTCGTGAAAGCCAAGCAGAGTAGTTACATTCAGAGAGGCAGGCTCTTGAGCAGAGGGTGACATGGTAAAAGTGGATTTTAGGAACAGAAATGTGGTCCCAACGAGTAGGAGAGATTAGAGCCTGGGAGACCTGTTAGATGACAAAAAGTGCCCAGGAAGGGACTGGGGGACTGAATGAATTACTCCCCCACCCCCACAAATACACAACAATGAATACTACCACCTCCAGTCTTCGACCTGGAATGGACAAGGAGCTGCTGGGGATCCTGGTATCCTACAGAGTCAGAGTCAACCTGATGGTGTCCTGTGGAGGGTGAGTGAGGGTTCAGGGTCTGTCTGGGCAGGGGCTGGGAGCTGAGGGTATCTTGCTTCTGTTTTCTTCCCCATTGGACTGACCCAATCAAGCTGTCCCCCCACCCCTTCTCCCAGACCAGGTTCCCAAACCTGTGAGCTCAGTGAGTAAGCCACTTTCCCCTCCAGAAACCCATTCTGTGCCTGAGTTGGCCTTATGACCCCTCATCCCCCAGTAAAATTAGGTTGCCACTTTGCATTTCCAGCTGCTAATTTTAGGGTGTCATTCTACCCTCAGCATCCTAGGTGACCTGACAGCCAGGTAAGAGACTGTGGGGAGGGGAGACTGGGGCGGGAAGGGGAGGATGAGGAGATAAGACCAAAAAAGTGATGAGGGAGAGTCTGAGGGCATCCCAGGACCAGAAAACTGAGGGAGAGAGGTTCAGGGAGTGGACTTGGAGGGAGATCTGTAACTCTACCTTGGGATCCTTGCAGTGATGTCGGTGTGGAGCTGCCCCTGATCCTGATGCATCCAAAGCCTTCGCAAGGTGAGTGACCAGGTGGGACTCAGGGTCCTGAGGGTTGGGGACCAAGCAGTTCTGATCTCATGAACTGGGGACTGGCAGTTTGGGTAGAGATTAAATAGCAATAGGTAGGCTGGGTGTCTAGGTTTTCAGGGGAAGTTGTGTGTGTGTGTTGTGTGTGGGGGAGGGAGAAGGATAATAAGGGAGGGGGGAGAGTAACAAGACATTTCTTCAGGGAACTGAAGAGCCCCTTATCAGCTTCAGCTCCATTTTTCCCTCCGTGCTTGCTACAGAGGCCACTAGGTAAGGAAATGTAGGCCTGGAAGCCCCATCCCCCTTTCCCCATTGCCACCCTCCATTTTATGACGAGGGAAATGTGAAAGCTTCCCTGGAGTGTTGCTCTCAATGCATGTGCAGTGGAAACGTGGTTTAGCTTTGTGTCATAGTTCAGTGCTTTTTATATGCCCTCCTTTCCCTTTTTGTATCACCCACCTTCCACCCTCTGCTCTTCTCAGAATCATCCTTCCCCCTCATCTCTTCCATTTTTCTTCCCCCGCCCTTGCCCCTACTTCTTCCCTCTTCCATTATTCGATCCCAATCCTCCTTCCCACCTTCTGTTCTTATTTCTCCTTCAGTGATCATAGGGGACTTTTGTGTTAGGAGATTGGGGAGGGAGCAAAGGGAAACAATGGCCAATGTCGTTGATGTGGGGGTGGGAGGGGACTACTGAGAGGGGGCTGAGGATCTGAGCTGGGAAGCAGGGAAGGGATCACTTCTCTGGGATCAGGAAAAGGGACTGATTGTGGAGGACACCTAGCAAGTTGTTCTAACCCTCCATTCCCTTCTGCTGCTTCTGCAAGCTCTGAGGACATAGTCATCGAGGAGTTTACTCGTGAGCCCGGCGGGGAGGAGACCCAGGAGGCGTTGGCAGCAGAGGGGGACGAGGGGAGCTGAGCACCTTGCTCTGGTGCCGCTGTGTGGGAGCCCCACTGTAACGCTCTAATAAATCAGCTTGTCCAGACGTGCCTGGCGATCTCTTTGGTATTTCCTCCTCCTGGAGAGTAATGGAACTAACAAGAACAAGCGCCCTCTTCCCTTGTCAATGATTAGATTACTCTGTAGCATGTGCTTTCCCCCTTAAGGACCCCCGATTTCCCTCTGGCGTGGCCACTCGCCCTCTATGGGTCCTTCAACTTTTCCTTCGGGCCCTGGCCATCCCCACCACCCCATCACCGCACTCCCGCAATCACCCACTGCTCCAGCTGCGGGGAGCCACAAGAACTGCAGGCAGGACCAAGGGAGTGTGGCCGTGTGCCCAGGCCTGGGGGCTACAGTGAAGGCGGCCAGCTGCGGTTGAACAGAGACCACCATGTGACCTCAGGCAGCGAGTGCCACCTGCCTGCTGGTGTTGTATGCCCTCGCACACACATGGCCCATAGTGAGGCTTCAGCGTGGAAACCCCCTGGAAACCGTCGAGAGACCCAAGTATCAGTCTCCACACAAATCCAAAGCTGTGTTCCTGGGGGAGCAGAGCGGTGGGGGTCTGGGTTGGGCGTTGGGGGTAGGGATATGTGACAGTATGGAATGGAGTGGGGGGGGTTCTCTGGGGAATCAATTTCCTCCTCGTCCAGGGTGACAGTTGGCCTACTTATCTGCCTCACAGTGGGGAAGACAATGATCATCACCCTTCATGTACAACAGCTTCGACTGCGCCTGCCAGGTGAGCCCACCACCAAGGCATCACACGGTACATTTCTGCCCCCTTCTTTGGCCGACTCACCCAGGGATTCTTCTCCTCAAAGTTATCTATTGTAAGCATTGAGAAGTTGAGCCAGGACAACCTTCTCAAGAGCCATTCTCCACTTCTGCTTCTAAGACCGCCTGGTATTGGGGGTAGAGGAAGGGTACAGAGTGAGTTTGTGATTCTCATCTGCAGGCAACCACCGGAATTGACTTCCTAAGATCATGTACTTGGAGGACCAAATAGTGAGTGTTCACTTTCATATCACTAACCCTATACCTCAACCCTTCATGCCTCTTCATCAGAGTAGGGTAACACTACCCCAGATTATCCATGGATAAAGGAGGGGAAGAAAAATGTGAAGCCTCCCCAAATTACCAAACCCTGTGCTGTTTCTTCTTCTCTGCCCTCATCTAATCTCCAACTATAACACAAAGTCCAAGAGGCCATGAATCCTGAAATCTGTTGCTCTATAGGGTCTTCCTTAACCAAAACCGTGTATCGAGACTGGACCTGTCCTAGGATGGTAGGCCACTTGGTTTGTGGTCATAGCAGTCACGTTTCAGGGGCCCAGTTTCCCTGACTCTTTTTATTTTGCCTTTATTAAGTTCTAGCCTTTAAAAGGCTAGTTTCTTTTCTTTCTCTACCTTCTTTCTAACCACTTGTTTTATGCAAGTTGAGCTGTAGCTACGGGACACAGTTGGCCTGGAGCGTTTTTGCAGCCTAACTCCTAGCTACATTCATGATTCAACTATTGCAGTGGTTGTCTATGACATCAGGAGTGGGTGTTAGGCCATATTTTATTTGAAAAAGGGATTGAAGGAAGCAAGAGTGAGATTGGTAAGACTAGCAGAGAGGAAGAACAGATACATTATTTTCTCTAAACCTCCACTAAATGTTTCAAATTTCTACAACACTTTCTCTTATAGACATTAATTCTTTCAAGGAGACAGATAAGCGAGTAGAACACGTATGGGCAGAAAGAGGTGATAATGTCGTCATCATGTTGGTGGGTAACAAGACTGATCTAAACAACAAAAGGTAAGGTATAACTACAACTTCTGGCATACCTAGAGCTCAATCTCTATGGGGAGGGTCTACTGTGCTCTATTTCCTCGGGAGGAGTTACCAGTGTCAGGGATCAGAAAGGTCATGGGTTCAAGGCTTCTAGGGTTCCTGGTCCTAGGGAGGCATCATTACACCTCAGAAGGATCTATCCCTATCCACTAACTCTGGGTCAGAAGGGGTCTTACCACTATCTGGTCCCTCACATCATTTCTCATTTGTCCAGAGGAGTCTCTGCAGAAGAGGGGGAAGAAAAATCCAGAGATCTCAACATGATGTTTATAGGGACCAGTGCCAAAACCACTTACAACGTGAATAATGTAATACCCATTTCTCTTCATGATACTTCCATTGCACTCTTGTCTCTAGCTAACCACCACTGCTTACTCTTTTGGATAACCTTGACTTGTCCTATCGTGGGGAGGGGGTAAGGTTCATCTCCCCCTTGTATAGTGCAAAGGCCCAGAATCATGTCCCTGAACTTGACCTTTTGTTCTTTTGTGCTTCACCATTCACACACATCCACACATAGCTATTCTGGCACATGGCTTCTGCCCTTCCTTCCAGAAGTAGTTCATCTCCACTGAAGGAAGAGGAGTATACCCTTTCTCGTGGCTTTGCTGGGGTAGGGAGTGTGCAAGCAGAGAAAGCAAACTTCTTTTGCCTAGTTGATGGCCAGGCCAATTATTCTGCCTGACTGATATTTAAGGGAAAATGGGACTAACTTCAGCCCAAAGTAGCTCCCTGGTCTGCCTTTAGGTGAAAGGGATCATAAGATCAGAATTCCTCTTCTGTGTCTCCTAGAAGCTGCCCCTGGGAGCTGAGATTTGACCCCAGCCACCTCACTCTATTACCTTCCTTAACACACACTTCAGTAGTTGAAAACCAACTGGAGCCCTCCAATGAGTCAGGCATCAAAAGCCATTGTTCCTGTTGACAGCTTAGGCTCTCTCTGCCTAATGTGATGAATCTATTGCATTTGGGCTTCCAAGTACCAGTCCTCCTGCACCCTCAGGTTTATGGTTTAAATACTTGGCCACTTACTAAGCTCTCGTCCAATTCCTGGGCTTAGGAGTAAAATGGAACCCCTGAAAATGCTATCCTTTTTCTTGACTGCATCTCACAGCTACTGAGTGGAAAGTTCTTGCAGGGCCCAGGAATGCCACCTTACCTTCTCTGACTGCTAAAGGACATCTATAGGGGATGCAGTTCTACAGCAGCTGGGATACCTCATAGGCTGATACAGTTCATTCTCTACTGTTTTCTTGTCTACACCCTCAATAAACGACTGGTCCTTTTCCCTCAACCTCTTTTATTTATTTTTTCCCCCCCCAAAGCCCCAGTAGATAGCTGTATGTCACAGCTGCACATCCTTTTAGTTGCTGTATGTGGGACACGGCCTCAGCATGGCCGGAGAAGCAGTGCATCGGTGCGCGCCCAGGATCCGAACCCGGGCCGCCAGCAGCGGAGCACGCGCACCTAACTGCTAAGCCATGGGGCCGGCCCTTGCCTCAGCCTCTTATTGCTTATGCCTTCTCCACGCTATACCTATACCTCCACAATGCAATTGCATCATGCTGGTGCCCCAACACAGAACCATTCCAAGTACCTCAGACTGAGAATCAATTTAGGGCAGGAGGGTTTTTGCCTCTTAGGCCTGTAGCACCTGGCTGGGACTTGTTACTATGTTTACCACACCTCTTAGATGAGTTGTTTTAAAACCTGTTAACCACAGGGAGAGTCTTGGACCTCAACCTTCAGTAGACTCAGTCAATATGCCTTTGTGCAAGTATCTCAGCCTCTAGTTTCTTTCTCAGATGGCCATTGGAGGGCAGCAGAGCAAAAAGGAGTCTAGAATAGAGGGGATTTCCCAGGAAGCAAAGAGACAGCTAAATTGATTCTACCTCCAACTCTGCTCACAAGGATGTTGCTACCTAAGAATGGCACAGAGCCTCTAGAAGAGGTACCATAGAGCTAGGTGGCATTTATAGGAAGAGCCAGAACTTCCTCATAGAGATATAGTACTACTATTTAGAACTATTTGCCATATTTGAAGACTTATGTCCTTTATTTAAAAATTCAGATTTCCAAGTTCCACCTCAGACCAACAGAATCACTCTCCAGGCAAAGGGCCTGCAAATCTATATTTAAGCTTCCCAGAATTCTTTCAAGGCAAATTTGGGACTTTCATTATGGGGGCACTTGACCCCATACCTCATTAGAAAACTTTCTATTCTGAATGGGAATGTTGAACATGCCAATGGAAATGGTATAAAGTATGGCCTGGAATCTCTAACAGTGGATCGATAACTAAGGAACTAAGAACATGGCAGAAGGTTATTTAGGGGACAGGGTGAAGAAAAGGAGGAAATCGGCACTCAGTACTACTCAACCTACAAGTTGGAAATTGGGAACTAATTTCTTCCTGCTGTCCCTGAAAAGAAATGCATCTAAGTCTCTCCCTTAGTTTATGTTCCAGATCAAAGAATTTGGGAAAGGAAAAGACAGAACTATATTAATACTGCCCCCTGCAGAGAAATATTCAAAGCTCATGGGGGAAGGGACACTGTTTCCTCCAATACTCCTCACCTATGCCATTCCTTAGTACTACTGTGGCTAAGGTTCCTGGGCCTCCCTAATGTTCTAGCCAGAGAGATAGGTGTGAAGTAGGTATAGTGTTGCTCTGTTACTTCCAGTGGCTCCTCTCTTGGGAAGAGCTTTTATTTTTGCCTCAATAGCATTTCACACCCAATCAGTATCATCCAAGAGTCACACCAACATTTCCTCAGCATTGCATTTTACTTTTTTGGGGAGAGGATAGGAAGAGGGAGGGGGTCAAAACAGGGTCCCACTGGAGTCTCTGAAGGGTATGAGACTGGTAGTGTAAGGATGGGATGAGATGGCCAGGCAGATAAGATAGAAGGTCCCCAAGATTCCTTTTTCTACTCATTTGTATACTCTAATGAAAATGATATGACATATGTATAATTGCCTAGCACATGGTATTCAATACATGTCAATTGTCTTTTCTAGCAGGGTTTTCCACAGGTTAGGCTATACTTAGACATCATCACTCTTCTCCTCTCAGGGAATGAAGCTCACCCAGAAAACTAGGGAACTAAAAGTGCAGTACAGTTTGGGTAATGCAGTTGGCTAGCTAGCTCAGTGCAGGGCATCACTGTCTCCCCATCCTCCCCACTCCACTATGCCAGGGCAGGGCTGAGAGCAGAGTTTCCCAAGTGGCTTCCCTGAGGTCTAGCCAGCCTATCCTAGAAGATTCCATGTGGAAGGCTGTGGGTTGCAACTCTCTAGTGCACAGTCCTCTCTTTTTGGCGATGATAATCTGGGGAAAAGAAGTAAGAAAAGGAGGAAAAGAGCAGGTTATCTTCAGGTCTGAGCCCCCAGTTCCCCATCGCCAACTTGTGGGGCCTCTAGTAACCAGTATTTAAAGAGTTCCTACCCAAGGCCCTGCCAGGTAAATAAAAAAGAGAGTAGCACTTACTGTAGGGAAAGAAGCGGACACGCATGCTGATTTCGCGGGCTGTCTTCAGGATCTCAACAGCCTAGAAGAAACACAGCAGCTCGTACAAATGAAGAGATATGATCCAGGACAGAATCATAACAAGAGGAAAGTAGTTTGCCACTCCAACCTTCTAGGTCACTAACAGCTGCTTCCCCCTGGTATACTTCCTCAGGAGAGATTCTTTCTTATCAAGTTACAGATCAGGCTAATCCTGTCCAACTTGCCCTACCTGACACGGCTTCTTGCCTCACCACAGCCCAAGTGCTGTGCTCACCTTGCTGTGCTCAATATCTTGGAAATCCACATCATTCACAGCTAGGACTTGGTCCCCTTCCTGAAGTCCTGCTCGATGGGCATCAGAGTCAGGAATCACCTGTTGGTAAGGAGAGAATATATGTGATGGAGGTGGGACAATTTCAAAGACTGTAAATGAAATTAAATGTTACTCAAATGTAAGGTGTCATTGGGTTTTTTTGTGTGTTTGTGCGACAATGCAGGGAAACAGACGGCTTGCCAGGTGGGAAGTTTTAAGTGGGAAAGGGTGTCCCCAATATGCCCCTTCTATGAGTCTACTAAATAATCCTTCTCCCAGGCCTTGGGACATCAGGGTTCTACAGTCTGAAAACTTAACAAAGGAAAGTAGCTATTCATATTGCCTGCCAGGCGCACGCACCTTGGAGATGAAGATGCCTAGCTGGGAGGCCTTTCCTCCTCGGATGTTAAATCCCAACTGTAAGACAAGAGCACAGAATGGAGGCTCAATATAGACCACAAGCACAAGAAGATCTAGTTCTATCACCATATGATAGCTTGGCTTGGGTCCCTCAGAGAGAAGTCAGAAGTTGTGGAAGTGGTATCTCAGCTTTTCTGCCTGTAAAAGGAAGTTTCCTTACCTTCCTACCTGCTTCCCAATCCATCTCCCAACCATTGCTTCTTCTGGGCCTGGTATGGACAAACGTAGCCCAGAATAAGATGCAAGTGTCCATAAGCTCACCTGAGCTCCAGGGGGTTTCTTCAGTATGACGATTCGGGGCAGAAACTGGGTCAACTCATTGTTGTAGTCTGGGTGGTATACCCTCTGCAAGACACAGCAACCCCAGAAATCTTACTACCAGTCTTAGATTTTATACCCACCTGCATCACAAATGCATCACCCTAAAGTCAGTAAAAGGTGAAGTCATGGACTTAGTTTAAGAATAACAGGTAACACTGTCCAAATGGGTAGATGGATAGCATGGAGAAATGCTAGCAGCCTAGTAGCTCCCCACTTCTTGCCCTCGACAGAATGGAAACTAGGTCTCTGAATTTCCAGAATTCTCTGGTGTGAATGGACTCTGGGAGAAGGATTCCACAAGAAGCTCCCAATGGGCCCAGTTGCTGAGAATCTAATTTCTGGGTCCCCTGGCTACAACAAAGGCTAAGATTCACTCTCCATTGAGCTTTCTAACCCTGCCATTCTACATTTCATTTATCATCTCATGCCCATGGGGGAATTTCCCCCCATGGGGGAAAAATCTCCTATTCAAGGGTACAAATGGTTCCCACCTCATGAGGAGGAATCCATGCTGGGGGATTCTCATAGGCAGGCAGGAAAACCACCGGGTAGTCATCATAAGGAATCCTGCTGTCCATCTCCAGCAAGGCCCTAGAATGGAAGGGTGAATCAAAGCCGACAAAAATGATTTAAAAGGGACAGCAGCCAAGCAAGTTTCAGAAAACAACCCCAACCCACTTCAAGGCTGTCAGTCTACAGGGCCAGCCCACTTCTAGGTAATAAAGACTGGGAGATAGAAGGAAGAAAAAAGATGGAAGAAAACTATTAACTTTGCTGAATATATGGATGCCAAGCAACCTGCCAGGTACTCTATAGAGATGATCTCCTTTGTCACAACAATCCTGCAAAATAGATGTTACCGTCTTCATTCTAGAGAAGAAGAAATCAGGATCGCGTCTAAAAAAATCTGTCTACTTTCAAAGTGCAAGGGAGTGCTGACTCCAACTATCCACAGGCGCTCGGGGCAAGGCACCACCCCCAGATTCCCTAGATGTGATCAGTAACAGTGAGGGTCCCCAGATCGACCCTTCTTTCACTACCAGCCACTTTCCAGATCCCCGCCCCGCATCCTGTCTGATTCCAGCACACACGATGCGGTAAATGGCGTACCACCTAGCCCCCCGGAGGCCTCAGCCACCTCAGGCGCCACTCACCGCCCATGCAGTCTAGGAACCGGAAGCGGATGCGAGGATGGGTCGGAAAGAGGCGGGGTCAGGGTGCGGCGCGCAGGCGCTACCCGCCCCAACACGTCTTCCGGCGCGCGCGGACGTGCGTGCTCCGCCCGCAGGCTGTCTGCGCTCCGATTGGCTGGCGCCTCCAGGACGGATTTGAAACTTGGCGGTTAAAGCTCCTGTTGGAACAGGGCGGCAGGAGACCCTGGAAGGGACATTTACTTTGGTGAGTTAAGGGGTCACACCTTAGCTCAGGATCTGCCTTTTCCGGTACGCTGGAGCTTTGGTTCTTTGTCGTCGTCTCCGCTGGGGGTTTTCCTTTCCACTTGAGACGCCACTTCGCTCTCTTCAGAGTGTCGGGCTGATGGGCAGTCCTGTCGTGGCCAGGTCTGGTGGAGAGTGACTCTCCTGAGGCAGCGATCCCGCTTGGAGGAGGAGGCTGCCACCGCTACCCTCTGAGGAGGGCCGGAATTGAGGGAGGACGCCCTCCCACCCCTGCCGACCTACCAAGGTTTATCAGCAAGCATCTTTTTGTTTTTTCCCGCAGAGACGGTGCTGAGGTAGGATCATGAAGGAAGAGGTGAAGGGAATTCCTGTAAGAGTGGCACTGCGATGTCGCCCTCTGGTCCCCAAAGAGATTAGCGAGGGCTGCCAGATGTGCCTTTCCTTCGTACCCGGGGAACCTCAGGTGCGTGCGTAGCAGCGTCCTGGGCCTGCCTCTCAACAGCTGGGGCCAAATGGCAGTGAGGGGCGTGGTCTAGCCGTACATTCTTTTTCTTACTCCTTGTCCCCTGCCTTCTCTAGGTGGTGGTTGGTACTGACAAATCCTTTACCTACGATTTTGTGTTTGACCCCTCCACTGAACAGGAAGAAGTCTTCAACACAGCAGTAGTGCCGCTCATTAAAGGCGTATTTAAAGGTGGGGCTATTTAATTCTTCAAACGGTTCTTGGGCATGTACTATGTGTCAGGCACTGTGCTTGCCTGCTGCAAATACAGGAATGGATGAAACATGAGTCCTGCCTTCAAAAAGCCCACAGCCTAGGAACTAACCCAATATCATTTGTGAAAGTTTCTGTACCCTATACAGTTTTATACTGTATTTGCTTTCTGCGGTTCTGCTCATCTTTGACTTGTATGTATTTTTGTTTGTTTCTCCTGGAACCTCATTAGATTCTAAGCTCTTTGTTGGATGCTGATGATGGTCAGTGTGCCAAGCTACTTGAGGCTCAGGCACTGCAAAGCCTGTTGAGGGATTCAGAGATAAATACTATAGCTTCCTGACCCTGGAGGAGTTCAAAATCATCTACTTTGATGATTACATACATAATTTTAAATGCATAAAAAATTTTAAACTTTTTGCACCTATCTTTAAGAAAAAAATTTTTTTAAGTTGAAAATATACAATAGAATAGTCCTGCTATAGAAGTAGCCCTGCTTTCATACAAAGTGATGTGAAAATCAAAAGGATGACATTAACTCTGCTTGGGGGATTTGAGGTGAATTTCACAGCATAGAGAACCTCTGAGATCTTGAATGATGAGTAGAATTCTTTTAGGTGAAGATTTCCTAAAGCCCCTGAATACTCTGGCTTTAGTGTTGTTGGAGACTGTAGCAGGGTTTTGAAGAAGGGAGCAGTGCCTGAGAGGGGTCTAATTGTTGTAGTATGGTGGTTATTCAACATTCAAAGCAGAGGCCTATTTAAAAGAAGTAGAACTATGGCATACTAGTCCTTTAAAGTTGAAAGGCACATTTTTACATCATCTAGTCTAACTTTCCATCCAAAGAAAAATGCTTTCTAGCAATCTCTAAGTGAACTTCTAGCATCTCTTTAAAATTTTTTTCTTTGACAGGGAACTCATTGACTCACAGGGTAATCCTATTGATTAGTTTTTGGGTAACTCTAATTGAGTTAGATTATATTGAGATGAAATTTGCTTCCTGGTAATTTCTACCCAGTGATATTAGTTCATCCCTCTAGACAAACAGAAGCCTTCTTCCAGGCAACAGCTATTCACAGTTTTTCCTCTTTGTTTTTTAATGATGTCATGGCTCAGGGCACATTGAACACTTTGTTTCAAATTTTAAAAATATTAAAGCAATAATCTCAAACTTACAGAAATGTTGCAAGAACAACATAAAGAATTTTTTTTTTCCTGAACCGTTTGAAATGAGTTGTTGACCTGATGCCCCCTGAATACTTTAGTGTATATTTGCTACAAACAGGGACTTCCTCCTACATAACTACAATATAACCATCAAAATCATGAAATTAGCATTGCTGCATTACTACCATCTAGTCCTCAGACCTCATTCAACTTTCACCAGTTGTTCCAATAATGTCCTTTATAGAGAAAAGATCTGGTTCAAAATCACAAGTTGTATTTATTTGTACTTCCCCTGTAGACTCCTTCATTCTAAAACTTCTCCAGTCATTTTTTAACTTTCATGATCATGACACTTTTGAGGATCACAGGTCAGTTATTTTGTAAACTGTTTCTCAATTTTAGTTTGTCTGATATTTATTTATGATTAGATTTAGGTTGTATATCTTTAGCAGGAATATCATAGAAGTGATGCTGTATTCTTCTCATTGAATCCTATCAGGCAACACACGATTTTGATTTGTTCCATTACTGCTGATGTTCATTTTGATCATTTGATTAAGGTTCTGCCAGGCTTCTCTACTTCTATAATTTCTATAAATTTAGTCTTTTTCCTATTTACATATTTGGAAAACCATTATATGTTTCTCCCTAAGTCTGTTCTAATTAATCGCCCCTCCTTTCCTTTAGCCATTCCTGAAACAATATGGTTCATTATCTGATCATCCTCAGAATGTACCTTCACAACTTAGTAAGAGCACTATAGTTCTGCTTTCATATTTTTAACTTGGGAAATTATGAAAATTAAATTATAGTCTTTAGAGGCAATGTAAAGTAGAAAGTGATTCCAATATGTATGTGTTAGGTTAACATTGCTCTCAGTTGCAAAGACAAAGCCGGTATTTTTTAGTCAGCTCAGCAGCACCCTCTTGTACTCTGAACTCCCAATACCACAGAGCCCTGAGTATTTTGTAAGAAGTACGGAAACTCAGTTTCCCCAGTTATTACTATATATACATATCTGTGGTATTGCAGAAGATTATTCTCTTGCCCCATAGTCATGCCAGGTGATACTAGAAATCTATTACAGTGAAAACCTCAATTTAACATCTTATGATCTTTGAGAACATCCAAGTCTTCATTTAGACAAACAAGTTCTTTCAAAAAGAAAAAAAAGCAAAGGATATATCTCACATTGAATCATACTTAAATGATGACATTTCTATGAGGAGCCTGAAAATATGATCCAGATGCAGTCTGAGAGTTCAGATAGGGAATGGATGCTTTCATTGACTGTAAAAAGCAACTTTGTTGCCTTTTCAAATGAAGACTCTTAATCAAAGAAATACATGTTGGAATCCCTTCTATTTATACAGCTTCTAAGACTTTCATTTAATTCCCATAATTTAGAATTGCTCGAAGTAGAAAGAAAGTAGAATTATAAAGTTCTGAATGGCTTTTTTGACAGTGACTTGGCCACCTTCATTATCTCAGTCATATCTTTAAGTGTTTTACTTCCCAGCTTTTAAGGACTATCAAGAGGGGCACACATTCTGGGGTTGGTATTTTTCTTCTTTGCTTGTGTGGAGTAGCGAAAAGTCACGGCACCCATATAACTTTTCTCTGTGTCTGTTATTCCTAAGAGACCCTTGTCTTAAGAGAGCAGTTTCAATCTTGTTACAAGTAATTGATGAAGGAAATGGAGTATATTGATTGGATGAAAATATTTGAGCACCACTATGCGTGTGACTTCTATTTTGCCAGGATACAATGCAACCGTCCTGGCCTATGGGCAGACTGGCTCTGGAAAAACCTATTCAATGGGAGGTGCATACACTGCAGAGCAAGAGAATGAACCAACAGTTGGGGTCATTCCTAGGGTAATACAACTGCTCTTCAAAGAAATTGATAAAAGGAGTGACTTTGAATTTACTCTGAAAGTATCATACTTGGAGGTAAATGATTTATCTTTAATTATTCTGAATTCAAATTTGTCTTTGGGTAGAAAAAATAAATCCAAATCAGGTTTTTCCTGGTATGACTCAAATTAATAAATTGCATTTTTAGTAAATTATATTTTAATAAATTGATAGAGAAAAGTTGCTGGCTTGGTTGGATCTGGCTCCTACCCAGTTCTTTCCTTGTTGTCAGAATAGTCTGTTTAATCTGATGGTTAGAGGAGCTGGCATTGCCATCTAAAAAGATGATAGGAATTCTTTAATTCCAATTTGGCCTCTGTTATTGATTCCTTGTAGAGTCTGCAGAAAAATATTTGATTTCCCTTTACTGTTTTGAGGCTTAAGTGATAATGCTGCTACTTCATGAAGAATGTTATAAAAATTGAGTGAAGTATTGAGCTGTGTGAGTGATGATAGTGTGTGTTTATTCAACAGATATTTATTGAGTACCTACTATGTTACAGGCTCTGTTCTAGGTACTTGGGATATACCAGTGAACAAAACAGATAAAAATCCCTGCCCTTGTCAGTGTTTTCATTCTAGTGTATATCAGTATACAAGTAGATTGACCAGTTATATCTAACCTCATGACACCAAAAACACATGTTTAGGGAACTTATGGCTTCTGGGAAATTAGCTGGTTGCTTCCATAGCAGTGATAAGATGTCTTATCTTTAGGAGCAATAATTAAACTTATATAATTTAAGCATGCAATTATAAATTGTATGTGAATACTTCATCCTGAAGTTGAATCTTAATATGTTAATAGATATAGGAGGTATAGAGTTGGAAGAGGGGGAGTTAAACATCATTAAGATTAGCCTTCTTGAATCTCTTGATTAACCCAGTTGTGGCCAAGGTAATTGAATGTA